AAGGATGAGGACACACGGACACTGAATTGGGTTGCCGTGTAACACTGTCACTAGTAAAAGGGAGAGGGGAGCCAACTACTAAACACAGCAATCTGGATGAACCCAAGAACATTATGCTAAATGTAACATATAAAAGAATATATACTTAATTTCACTTATATGAAAACCTCCGGTTTTCATATAATATCTTTTTTTACTAAAAAAAAAAAAAGGTCAGGGATTTCTTATAGCTGGGGTTCAGAGGTTTCATTTGACCACGAGTGCACAAGTGAATTGTGGGGGTGATCCCTGGTTGTGGTGGTGGTTATACTTCTCAGAACCATTGTACACTTAAAATGTGTGCTTTCTAGTAGGAAGTTTTTACATGTATAAAGTTGACATAATAAGATTTGGAATCAATCAAAACTGAACTCATAATAAATAGTATTAGAGAAAAGTCTCACTTCTATTTGCAATAATATATTTAGAAATAGATCTCAGTGCAGCTCTAAAGTCTACTACCGATTGCACTTTGGAGACTCATCTTTAATCCAGTTAAGCAAATGCTAAGGAATAGGCTGAGGTGGCTTGTTCTGGCTATTAACGTACAAAGTAATGTCAGTGTTTTTGGTTGAGCTATGTAGGTTTTTTGTTAGGCTGGCAGAGGCCTGGCCAGAAGGGAGGAAGAAATTGTCAAGAAGCAGAACCTCCACCTGGGCTAAAAATGCCAGCTGACAGGAAAGGGAGCAAAAAAAAGCAGACAAACAACTCCAAGAAAAGGAAAAACGCCTCACCTTAGAAGCAGTATAAAAGTCCCTGACTTTCAGACCCCCGGTACAACACGTGTCCGATCACTCTGTCCATGTTTCCCGAGCGCAATAAAACTCTCTTTCCCTCTCTGACCTCTCTTGCTGCCTTTCTATTTCTAACAGGTTTCCCCTCAACACGTTGGAGACTAGAGACTTAAGATAAATACATGGTAAATAGGCAAATATAGAACCTAAGTTTTCTCTGTAAGGAGAGGCCATAAATGTATAAAGATTCAAATCAGGAGTGGGAAAGCATCTGCCACTGCATTTACTTTAACACATGCTGGTGTTAGTTTTCTGCTGTTGCCATAATATCCACAAACTTACTGATTTAAAGCAACATTCTTACATCAAGCCCAGTGGATTCACACTGCAACTCTAGCTAGGGGTTGATACGTCTAGAATCAAGTCACCTGCTGTCAATAGCAGTTCTGAGTGCTGCGGTATTGTGTCACAGCTGTTACAGTTTGAGTATTAGAGCAAACGTTTACTCCTAGCCTCCGGATAGCAATCCCAGGCATACAAACTCAAGGATTTGAAGGAGCAGAGGGCTAGTGGGCCAAGGCTGGTAGTCACAAAGCTGGTGAGCATGAGCTAGCAGCCACAGAAAAGGCTTGGGGAAATAACAGCAGCTTGCTGTTGCTTCACACAAAAGGGGCAAAGTAAGGCAGTGAGAAAGAGCCCCAAAGCAGAAAAAGGCCCCAGGAGCTCTTAAGAACAGTGGAGAGTCCCCAAGAGTACCTATAAAAAGGAATCCCACCACCTCAGTAACAGGCTCCTCTCTGGGGTCCCGCCTGCTGTCACGAGTATTTCTTGCGATAAACCTGAGCTTGCTAATCTTCAACCTGGTGTGTCAGTGATTATTCCTCAATCACTGCAACACAAGAATACAGCCAACTGGCAGCAGGTCATGTGAGCTAAATGCCCAAGGAGCTTGCCAGAAACAGGTGTGTACTTATATTGACAGGGGAGTCTTACAAACATGTAAATGTCTGTGCCAATGTCTGTGTCATCTGAAGAAACTATCCCCAAAGAACTCCACTAAACTGGTGTGCGTAGGCAACCATGGTTAATGTCCTCACTCCGTGGTTTTAAGCCCATTAACTGTTCTGATTGCTGCGCATGCAAAACTGAAGAAGGTATAAGAAGCTTGTAACCCTCACACTCAGGGTCCAGAGCCTTGGAGATTACTCCTTTGGGTCCACTATCATAATCAATCTCCACTCTCATAATTAATCTCCTGATCTCAGTTCTCCGAATACTGCTCACTTCTTCCACGGGTAAAGGGCCAAGACTACACAACAATGTAGGCAAAGGGGTGGGGTTAAATCAGCTTTTAGCATGAGATTTTCAGTCAGTGCAATTCTGATTTATGAAACTTTGTCAAGTGGCGAACAGCTGTGTTTCAGTCCTGTGGTCCATTTTCTTAGCTATGTACAAACCCCAACAAGCTTAGGTGCCTGGTCCTTCAAGGAACCTGACTCTTAACAGCAGCCCAGCTGGTTGTTACTTAACACAGAATGGCTCCATTTTTTCTTTTTTATTTTACTTACTACAGCCATTCAGACTCTGATAAAAATCTGCCTCCAGGATTGTTCAGGTTGAAGTCAAATTCATTCCTTTTGTGTGATAGGTATTTGGCCCTTTTATTAAGGGGAGGGATGTCCTAAAGGAACTCTGCAGAGTCTTATGGACTCCACCCCTACTCCAGCTTTCTGGAGCCTACCCCCTACTCCAGTGATTGGAAACTACAACTCCCAGCAGTACCAGCGAGAGAACTGCAAGGACCCAAGGGCAGAGCTAGCAGGAATTCTGGGACATTTGGGGGATAAATAGGGTGTGATTGCATCTCTCGCTCCAGAAACGGCTCTCCAGACCCTGTGACTTGGTGTGTTCAGTCAGCCTAGCCGTAAGGTATTCCAGTTACTTTGTATTCTGCTCTCTTTCCCTGGGTTGTTTCCTATTCCTTTCCCCTTCTGTAAATAAACCCGTCATTGACCCTTTAGTGTGTCCCTGCAGTATAACCGAATTGTGAGCATGTGGGTAAGGCCCCACAGACAGGCGGCCCAGTCCACTCTGGGCTACCCTGTAACAGTTTCTATCATACAGCAGTGCATATAGGTTGAGTCTAATCTCTATGAAGTTCATTTCTGCTGCATCTATGACTTAATACTTTGTCTTTGGGGTTCATGTGATTACACTGGGACTACCCAGAAAATTCAGGTTAATCCCTCTACCTTAAGATCAGCTGGTTAGTAGGCCTACCTGGTGGCGCAAAGGGTTAAAGCACAGCACTATGAAGCTATCAGCAGCTGCTGCAGCATGAGTTCGATCCCTGGCAGGGAGTGACCCACATGACACAGCAGACCTCTCCTGTCCTTCCCACTGCTCCCCTCAGCAGTGTACTTTGGTCAATCTGCCTGTTCTGTTCCCCACTCTGTCTCTGGTGAATCCTCTCACCACCCCACACCTCTTACCTGTACCCCAGTCCTTAGGGTATGCATGAATAAATAAATCTTTTTTTAAAAAAGATCAGCTGGTTAGTAATCCTAATTATATTTGCATGTAATGTAACAACTGTGGGAGAAATATTAGGTGACAACAATCACGGGGGTCAAAATTCTGCTCATACAATTCTCAATGGAAAAAAAAAACAAAAAATGAAAAACATTTCAGCACAAGAAAACTAAGATATTTGCTCAAAACCATTTGTAGCATTCAACTATATCAATTTTAGTAAGTTACAGTATCTCTAGTGCCTGTGACAAATCAAGGAATGTACACATGATGTCCCTCTGTCATCCATGTATTTTTTTTAATTAGGTAAATTGAGAGACTTTAGAAAATGTCATGTAGTGTTGTATGAGAAGTTAATAAGGGAAAGTGCTAAGTGCTCTGAGATAAGAACTCAAATAAATGATTGTTGTTATTCCCATTTTACAGGTAACATTGATTGAGAAGTAGCCTAACTCTTAAGACCACATGGCTAATAAGTGACCCAGATGGTTCAAATTCAAAGGTGCAAATCAATGGAAAATATTGCATGGAATGGACTTAACATAAAGCCCTTTGGATATTCATTATCATTATTATTATTAAAATGACACACAAGCTCTCCTGTGACCCTAAATAGGTATGGCATTTCTAACAGCTACTTCATGTTGACAGAACAAGTCCAAATTCCTCATCTGGTTCCAACATTTACTTGCCTCCCCTCCTTCCCACTTCCCCCCTCTCACAGCAACCCTATTATTCACAATTATTTTCTGCAAAATGAACTTTGTGTGAAGATTGGCATTGTTTTACATCTTTTTTCCAATTTCTTTACTGTGAATAGGACAACTTCACATCTTTTCCTGTGATCTTCAGTATTGCATCAATTTTCCAGACATGATGGAAAATTCCTGAACACTCCTGAACTACGTGACAGTAGAAAGCAAATAACTCCTTTGTATTGTTATGAGAACAGCATTGCCCTGGCAGAACCCCCTGGAACACGTGGCCATATTTGGGGAGTCAAAATTGGATTAGGGTGTGTAGGGCTTCAAACTACCTGGCCCTGTCTCATATTTCCTGTGGAAGCCGCTACTGGGAGAAACGGGTCATTAAACTACTTAACGGGTTAAACATGTACTGCACCTCGCACTCAGTTAACTACCAAACCAACCAACGCAAGCTCATCACAAACAGGACTCCCACCTGGCCGCAGGATGGGCCTCATAGTCTGAAAAAAGGGGTGGGCACGTGGGAATGCTTAGAAAATTCAAGAAACACAACTGGGCCAGGCCCACTGGCCTAGGCCGCAGAATTTAAGGCCTCAGCCTAAATCTCAGTTATAAAAGATAAATGCTGTTTTGACGCAGTATTTGACAAACTCAAATCCAAATTTCAAATCTGTGGCCTGAGGGTGGTCCGCCTACTTTATAATTAAAACTTAAGTGGCTCTTTTCAAAAAAACTTCCAAATCTCCACACAAGCCCTCTAAAGCACCCCACCTGAAGCGCTGGAAAGCACGAGAGAGAGGCCGAGGCAGCCGAAAGGAACCACGGGAAGAAGCTGGCCCAGAGACGAACACCCGGCGCCCCTCAGCTAACTTCCACTCGCCCCGCCTTCTCTCGGCCCCGCCCCGGTCCCCTGAGATTGGCGGAGAGGCCTCCCCTTCGCGCTGCCATTGGCCCGGAGTTCGTCGGGGGTGGGCCGAGGGAGACTTACCTCAGGAGGTGCCCGCGAGCGCGTCATTTTGCGCGCTGGGTCGGCTGGCGGCGGCTGAAGCGAGAGTAGCGGCCGGCGCGGCGCCGCTCTAGGTACGTTGGGGGCCGGGTGAGGGCCCCGCGCGAGCGCCGGTTG